TTCAAAGCACTGTTTACCTATTCCACTGTACTTCTCCTGATTTCGTCCTCATTTCTCCAAGTGCAGCCGCTATCAAAGATGATTTACCTGAACCAACCTGGCCAACAATTATAGTTAGTCTACCTGCGAATAAAAACAATCAATATTTTCATAAATATTCTATACAACAATTTTTAAATAAAAAAGCGTAAAATTATGGAAGTAAACAATGATTCTAAATAGCCACAATATGAAAATACTGGTCTGATTTTATCCGACATTTTACAATCAATTCTAGTTCAATACACACCTGCAGGAATATCGACATTGATGTCCGAAATACATGGAATATTTGAATCCAGATCCCAACAAAAATCTCCATTTCTTATCTAAATTTGATTTGTAAAACATTTTAATTACATAAGGTATGTGTAAATTGTGGTTAGCTTGATTAAAACAATGCAATTAAAGAAACTACCTGAGAACATTCAGTTACATTTTGTTAACACAATTTATAAAAATAATTATGCACATGTTTGCTAACATAATAACGTACGTATTACGCGCGGGAGTTGCAGTGCCAATGTAGTGCCGATATTATTTTATTCTGATCCCATTGCGACGATGTGCACCGTGAAACGTTTTGTAGTTGATCACGTATCCTGAAGTCGGCACATACTATCGGTCGACGATCGGTCAATTCAGGAAAATAATAGCTGCATTTTACGATAAAAATAGTGTTCAAAATGCGTGCAAAGTTGGTGAGCAATTTAATAATCAACAATCTAATAACGGATCTGCCGATCAACTACGTTTGATAGCTCCGTTGGTGAACATTATTATCATGATCATAAAGTAATACGGTAGTACTTAGATATTTAATGCAATGTTTACAGTTCAATCTTCAAAAATTACAATCAGAGAGACGTACTGTGAATGTGACGTCATCAGGTACATCGTTCGGAGTAGCTGATAGTGATGTTGACATACTTCCATATGATGTGACGTGTTTCCCCGAAGAAGTAAGTTTTGATTTATCGTCGTAATTCTGAAATGCCAAATGCTCAGAATTCCCAGAGTTCTTCTTCACTGATGATTTTGCTCTATTGCCCGGAAATTTGAAGTCTACGTTTGGAATCTGTAAATTAAATCATTGGCACTTAGTATTAGATAAGAAAGATATCTTTTGCAACAAAGATTATAAATTCTCTAACAGTTGCGTAAAATGTTATAAATTAAAATGAAAATAAACGTGTTATTCTACATAGGCCTATCCGAAAAAGTCAAACAAACTAATTACTTGAGGAATATTAGTACCAATACTAACCTTATCATCATGCATGTGATGGTTTACACCATTCTTTTGCTGTCTCTGTTGCCGACCATTATCGAGTTTTTCAATTTCTGGTGCAATCAAAAAATTCCGTAAACGATTTGTGCTAACAATTGCGTTAACCAGGAACGCAAGTGTCATCGGCAGAAGGAACAATGGGACGGTCAATTGTTGGAAGAGCGCAAGTGAAGAAAACGCAATGTCCGGTTTCAAATCAACGCCTTCAAGTTTACTATACAGCGAAAAAGACTGCAAAAAGCAACAATAATCAATTGGCTAAAAGGAATGAAATTGAACTTCGATAAAATAACCGCATGTGCAAAGTTAAAACGTTTACCATTTCTAGCATATAGAGGGCGCTATTGACATAATCCCCAG